CCGTTCGCAGCCGGGCTCCACACTGCGCTGTGAAAGCAACGCCCGGATGGCGCGCCGCTCGGGCTGAGCTGTTCCCAGTAGTTCACCTGCGAGACATGCTTGATGCTGAGCATCTCTTCGTGGAAAGTTGCGTGTAGACCGAATCGAAACATGGAAGGTGGCCCAAGGAGAACGCCCTGAGGTGCTGGGATTTGCCAGTACTTCACAATAAAGTGCATCCTCAGCATCTCTTGTAAGACCACACCTTTTCGGTTACTGGGTGGGGAAATGTTCAGCACCCGAATCTTGCATTGCATGAGCCATGACGAGCCAAAAGCTCGCGATGGCCCTCGCTGGCCTCACGCCCGTAGAACCATAAGTCGTTGAGAAGGTTGCCTCAGTGATGCCCCCACCGCAACGCAGCCCGCTGTGGTGCTGCCCCAGACGTGCTCTCACTCAGGCCCGGGCCACCATTTCCACCGAACACGTAGAAGCCGTTCGCAGCCGGGCTCCACACCGCGGTGTGGCCATTCCGCACGGATGGCGCCGTGCCGCTCGGGCTGAGCTGCTCCCAGCTGTTTGCCTGCGAGACATGCCTGATGCTGAGCATCTCTTCGTGGAAAGCTGCGTGTAGACCGAATCGAAACATGGAAGGTGGCCCAAGGAGAACACCCTGAGGTGCTGGGATTTGCCAGTGCTTCACAATAAAGTGCATCCTCAGCATCTAAGACCACACCTTTTCGGTTACTGGGTGGGGAAATGTTCAGCACCCGAATCTTGCATTGCATGAGCCATGACGAGCCAAAAGCTCGCGATGGCCCTCACTGGCCTCACTCCCGTAGAACCACAAGTCGTTAAGAACGTTGCCTCAGTACTCCCGCCCGCGCACCGCAACGCAGCATCGCAGGTTGCTGTCGTGCTGCCCCCAGACGTGCTCTCAGGCCCGGGCCACCATCATCAAACCCACCGAACACGTAGAAGCCGTTCGCAGCGGCGCTCCACACCGCGGTGTGCAAACGCCGCGCCGATGGCGCCGTGCCGTCCGGGCTGAGCTGTTCCCAGCTGCTGTTTGCCTGCGAGACATGTCTGCTGCTGAGCATCTCTTCGTGGAAAATTGCGCGTAGATCGAATCGAAACATGGAAGGTGGCCCCAAGGAGAACGCCCCGTGGTGCTGGGATTTGCCAGTACTTCACAAAAAAGTGCATCCTGAGCATCTCTTGTAAGACCACACCTTTTCGGTTACTGGGCGGGGAAATGTTTAGCAGTCGAATCTTGCATTGTATTAGCCATGACGAGTCAAAAGCTCGCGATGGCCCTCGCTGGCCTCACGCCAGAACCACAAGTCATTGAGCTGGTCGTGGATGCTGCTGCCTCGGTGACTCCACCCGCACATCGCAACGCAGCATCGCAGGTTGCTGTCGTGCTGCCCCAGACGTGCTCTCACTCAGGCCCGGGCCACCACCATTTCCACCGAACACGTAGAAGCCGTTCGCAGCCGGGCTCCACACCGCGGTGTGGCCATACCGCACGGATGGCGCCGTGCCGTTCGGGCTGAGCTGTTCCCAGTAGTTCACCTGCGAGACATGTCTGCTGCTGAGCATATCTTCGTGGAAAGTTGCGTGTAGGCCGAAACGAAACATGGAAGGTGGCCCCAAGGAGAACGCCCCGTGGTGCTGGGATTTGCCAGTACTTCACACAAAAAAAGAGGGCATCTCCTCAGCATGTCTTGTAAGTCTACACCTTCTCGGTTACGGGGTCGGGAAAAGTTTGGCAGTCGAATCTTGCATTGCCTGAGCCATGACGAGCGAAAAGCTCGCGATGGCCCTCACTGGCCTCACTCCCGTAGAACCACAAGTCGTTAAGAACGTTGCCTCAGTACTCCCGCCCGCGCACCGCAACGCAGCATCGCAGGTTGCTGTCGTGCTGCCCCCAGACGTGCTCTCAGGCCCGGGCCATCATACCCACCGAACACGTAGAAGCCGTTCGCAGCGGCGCTCCACACCGCGGTGTGGTGAGTCCGCCCGGATGGCGCCGTGCCGCTCGGGCTGAGCTGTTCCCAGTAGTTCACCTGCGAGACATGTCTGATGCAGAGCATCTCTTTGTGGAAGGTTGCGTGTAGATCGAATCGAAACATGGAAGGTGGCCCAGTACTTCACGAAGAAAGCGCATCTCCTAAGCATTTCTTCTAAGCCTACACCTTCTCGGTTGCTGGGGTTTAGCAGTCGGATCTTGCATTGCCTGATCCATGACGAGCCAAAAGCTCGCGATGGCCCTCACTGGCCTCACGCCGGTAGATCCACGAGTCGTTGAGAAGGTTGCCTCAAGTGATCCAGCCTTCACACCGCAACGCAGCATCGCAGGTTGCTGTCGTGCTGCCCCTGACGTGCTCTCAGGGCCCGGGCCGTTATCATCCTCCCCACCGAACACGTAGAAGCCGTGCGCAGCCGGGCTCCACACCGCGGCGTCTCCGTGCCGAAACCGCACGGATGGCGGCGTGCCACTCGGGCTGAGCTGTTCCCAGTAGTTCGCCTGCACCGAGCATGTGTGACGGTCTGCTCGGGTTAGGCATCGAAGCTCTTGGTACCTTTGGATAGAGAGAAGTTGTTGACCTTTGCCCCTTCTCTGTCTCGACATCTTTCCCTGCTACGTGCGGCCTCAACCAGCTGGGCCAGTATCGGGACCAGCCAAACCAGCCTCACCTGGTCCAAAGACTCGCCACGCAAGTGCAGGGGTACAGAGTCACGGGCAAAGGAGGCAGGAAGCATCTTCATTCCGGCCATCGACAGCACAAGTGACAGCCGGCTGCATGTCTTGCACCTTCTCTTGAACCTAACCATGAGACTCCAGCCTCAGCATCCTTTGACTCGCAAGCAAGCATATACTCCTGTTGCCCTTGTTGTCCCGAAGTGCTACGCTTTCGCAAATGCACGTGGAAACCACAACTGCTTCGGTAGCAGACACAGGGCAAGGCCTGAGCCACCTTGCTCCGGCGATTACATGTAAACTTGAGATGCATAATACAAGAGCTTTTTGGGCTATTGCCAGAAGCTTGCAAGGGAGCCTGCGTATGGCACAGAGCAGTAGCACAACCTGAAGTAGCCATGTAAGACTTCGAGCAAGAGGCTGATCGCAATGAGCTTGGGCATCGTCCAACCTGGGGGTCTGCCGGCAAAAGCAGAACGACTCTCTTGCCCATTGCGCCTCCGCATGCCGGCCGCCAGGCTCCGAGAACATCTGTGATTCTGATTCGATTCACACAAAAACATCCTAAACCTTGAGACAGCGACAGCGATGTTGCGCGGCAGAAGTCTTCCATACGTGACACGCAGCAGCCCATGCATGCAGGACGCTTCCTAGCAGCCCGGTTATTCATAGCTGTTACGGAGAGCCTTGCAGCAACCCCCTACGTAGGGCCCGCGGGCTCCATCACAAGAAACTCTCAAACTGAAGCCACCGTGTCCAACAAATGCCTCCCAAACGTCCTCCTCCGCGTAAGCCTTTGTTTTGAAGACAGTCGGCGGTGAATTTCGATTAAATCCAAATTCAATAATTTTGCTCCCTGCTCTAGGAGACCCTAGACCACCTCACGCCGTTGGCTCCACGTTCGCCTCTAGTCCTCTTGAACCGACACTTGGATTCGCAACAGCCTTGCATGCGCGCCGCCCCACGAAGATGCGCGCAAGGTGACTTTGCACACAAGCCCCGCGACCGCAAGAGTAAGAAATCAGCAACAGCAGATTTAAGTGGTGCTGGAAAAGACCTCCTCAAAAGGGTCCTGTGTCTTTTCACTCACAGCAACCAACTGGAAGCCTGCTGTTGCGCTATCGTCCTAGCCTGCACTGCGTGAATCAATAAATCATACCGGGGCTGGCAGCTCCTACAAAGGCAGCAACACAGGCTCACTCAAAGGGAGGCAGCAGCCAAGACGCGTCCCGAAGTGACATTCAACAACCGAGCCTTTTCCGCAGTCAGTGCACTTGCTTCAGTTCCAAGCCTTTGCGGCGGTTCGGAAATTGCCAGGTGCCGTTGTCCAGCCTGTGATCCCGCCAGTCAAACTCAATCATACTCACTAATTGTTGTGCTTGCATGAACAGCTCAACCGAACAAATCGAACAGGCCCAGCTGGGTGAGCCAATGGCGCTAAGCTTGCTCTCAGTATAAATATTAGATCAAGCAGACTCCAACACACATGGTAAACTGTCAGTGCAACAATAACCTACAACGCGCACGCTTCAAGCACATGCGGTATCCCAAATCAAGTTCGGCTCAACTTCAGTACTTGACAGAAAACGAACCACAGCCGCTTCTTCAGCAGCTGTAATGTTCAGATTCCCCCTGCCCGAAAGTACACCGGCCTGCGTGCAAACATGGCCTTGACCATGTGCAGCCATAGTGGACCATCGCCCACCATGAAGCAAAGCAGCATCGTTTCGAACAATCCGACCAATTCTTATCTGAACTTACGTCCGGCTGCAACTAACACGCTTTACTGGCCCTGCCCGCAACTGGAAACCGAAAGTTGATTCTCAGAGTGTGAATAAGTCGATGGATGTAACCCGAAATTTGCTATACTTTCATAAGATACAAAACACTCACAGTTGAAACAAGCATTGGCATTGATTAACGTGGTGCATTGCGTCTTCCTGGGCTTGTGAAAAGGCCAAACGAAACTCCATCGAGCTTTCACAGCCCCGCTCCAACATCGATGCAAGCCACTTGCTTCACCTTTGATTTCAAGTTGATGCTTGAGCAAGCACGATTGGATTCGCATGGAACTGCCGGAAAACCTACTTCACTAAAATCGCAGCGGTACAGCTAAACTTCCCCAAAAGGGACTGGTCACAAGCACATTACGAACAATCACATATTGAAGCATTGCAACTACAGAATATCGTAATGTGGGCTTTGCTGTCTTCTTTCCGTGTCTCTCTGCGTGGAATCCTCGATGTTGATTTGGCAACAGAATGTCACAACCACATATAACAGATGTGAACAGGTCTGAACTGTTTGGAGTAGCTGTGGACTGTGGATTTCAGAAAGCGTCGGAGACTCATCTAAACTTGAATCTAGACAGTGAAAACAAAACAGAATGTCTGACTCCATCGGGCCCATAATAACATCATCTACGCGCGGCCCGTGCAGCGGCCCGTGGCCCGCGGCCACATGGGTTTGGGGTTTCGCAGCCACCCATTGCTTGTAGAGTTTGCGGCTTCGCACCCACCCACTCCTTTTATGTAGGGTTCAGGGTTTCGCACCCACCCATTCCTTGCATAAGGGTATGAGGGTTTGGTAGCCACCGACTCCTGTTCGGGTTCATGGTTTCACACCCACCGGTGCACTCCTTTTAGGGTTCAGGGTTTCGCGCCCACCCAGGCACTCGCTTTGAATAGGGCTTGGGGTTTCGCACCCACCCACTTATTTTAGGGTTTGGGGTTTGGCACGCACCCACTCCTTTGAGGGTATGAGGGTTTCGTAGCCACTGACCACTTTTGGGGAGCAGGGTTTCGCACCCACCCATGCACTCTTCCTGTTAACCGCGGCCCTCGGCTTGCAGTGTGCTGCCTGCGGCCCGCGGCCACAGCAAAAACAGGCCTTTACCCACTGGGCCATAGGCAAACGGCTTTTCGTCAGAGCACGGCAATGATGACTACCAGGAACAACCAGCGGCCGTGCTTGATTTCCACTCGCTTGCACGTTTTGTCTCAGTAGCTTGCAAATTCGATCTCTTGGCTTACACGCTGCCCTTCGTAACGACAAGTCTGTGCACCATCTCTCTGCTGGCAGATCCTCTTTGCAAGCGCACTCCCCAGGTGGGAAACCGTGTCCCTAGAGGCACGTGGACTTAAAACCCACCGGAGTGTTGACTGCACGAGCCTGACGTCCATGAGCGGACAAGAAGCTCCACGGGCAGCGCAGCCCCAGCCACCCCCAAAAACCAATCAGGGGTCGTGCAGCAACTTGCTTCATGCACTCGTTGATGATACAGGACCGAAAAATCCCGGCGGGGGCTGCTAGAGTCGCCCTTTGAGGTTGCAAATGGTTGCAAGAACGCAGCATCAGGTTGCAAACGCAAAGAGGGAGCGTGTGCCTCAAGACTTTGTCTTAGGAAGCTCCGAATGAGAAGGAGAGGAGATTTCATCAAGCCAGACAGTAGCCTGAGGCCACGTTTCAATAGTCCCAACATGCAGGACATACTTGTTCCATCCCATCATGTGCCATGGAAAGCTTGCCCCTGCTTACCCCCCCTGGTCTCGCATTCAATCAGAAAGACTTAGCAAGTCTATTCAATTCCGTTCCCCCCAAAAAAAACATAGTTTGGTTCATGTCCACTGAACTGCTCAGGTCCATTGATGCGGCCTCAGACCCTGAAAGATGCACGCACTCCCCTTCTCACATCAACTACTAACTACTGCCACCTCCGCTGCCCGGTGCAGACTACCAGACAGCTTTAAAACAATTATGAGCGGCCATGCCCAAAAATGCCGTGACACACTCTGCTTCTCAGGCCGTGGCTCTTGACGTCTCAAAGGGTTTACAAAGAATTTGCAAATCTTGCCGTAGCTTGCAAATTGGATCTCTCGGCTTTGCGTGCTGCCTTTCATAAAGACAAGTCTGGCACCATCTCTCTGCTGGCAGATCCTCTTTGCAAGTGCGGTCGCGACCAGTGCTTCATGCACTCGCTAATGATACAGGACGGAAAAATCCCCGTGGGGGCTGCTGGAGTAGCCCTGAGGTTGCAAGATGCAGCATGACGCTAAGAATTCACAAAGACGCACGAGATCGTACGAGCATTTGCCTCAAGACTGCGTCTCAGGACGCTCCGAATGAGAAGGAGAGTGCAGCAACCCAGACAGACCAGCGTCAAAGCACATGAGACCCATCTTCAACACCAATATGCAGAACCTACTTGACCCATCCCATCACGTGCCTTGGAAAGCTTGGCCCTGCCAAAACCTCAAGTGGCTCCTCCCTTACGAGGCCACAAACGGAATCAAAATTCCGGGGCTCAAGCTTTAGTCAGGTTCGATGGCCGCTACCCTATCTGTATCCTTATCAAGCAGTTCGTAACTATGAGACATCGTCCTGCTGTTCGGCAAATGTTTCTGGAGGGCTGGTCTCTGGGCAATTGTACTGGGATCCTAAGCATCTTCCTTAGAGTGTGAAGCTTCCTAATGTGTATAAAGACTACTCAACAACACTTGCTGAAAGTGTTCCGCCTGATATAGGAGCGTGGGTGTATCTTTATGGTACGACACTTACCATGTTCCTGCAGATGCCGCTTCCTCTGGCGCTATTGGCAGCTTCAGGGTCTTGAACATTTCCTAGACGTCCCTGGAGTTTGCGCACATCGGTGTCTCATACTTGGCTCTGCTCTCGACCTCTCTGCATGACCTGGAGCGTCGAAGCCAAATCATCTAGTCCCCAGGATTCACCCACCGGTACGATCCAAGATCCCAATGGTATACGAAGATACAGGGAGCGACAAAGGTTTTTCTATGGGCTGTAAACGTGCCAAAGCCCTACACCTTGATGCCTAATGCCGGAACCCCTACAATCCTAAACCCTACTGCCCTACTCCCTACTCTAATCCCTACACCCTAAAAGCACAAACCCTGATCGCTAATCCCTAAACCCTACCCTGGAATGACTTGCCTTTTCAGTGCAGCGGCTACAGCTCCTAGAACCTTCCTTACCCGCCTTCCCCGCCCCCAAGATTCAACAGCTTATGCATCAAGCTGGCGAGCAAGTCTCTGGCACATGCGATATCTTTTAGTCAGGAAAAGCTTGTATGCAGAAGCCTTGCTTGAAGAACGTGTACGAAATCCGCAGAGCCGCAGTCATCCTCTGAGAGTTGGATGGGTAATGGCGAGAGCACTCCCCTTCTCACATCAACTACTGCCACCTCCGCTGCCCTGCACGATCCAAGAACTTCAATAGTATACGAAGGTTTATCCTTGAAATGATACCGGGAATGACAAAGGTTTCACTGTTGGCTGTAAACGGAATATGCTGCTTCTGCGGGGGTCTGGAATGACTCGAGTTTTCAGTGGAGCGCCTGCAGCTCCTGGGAACCAGGGTACATTATAGTTGTAGTTTATAATGGCATATTGGAGTATTTCAACGTGTATTGCAGTAGATTGTAGTATGACAAAGGAAACAAAAGTATTTTATAGTATATCCTTCCTCCCACCCCCCGCGATTCAACGGCTTGTACATCATAGCTGACCCACAAAGCCTTTGGCAAACCTGACTTGTCGAGAAAAGCTGGAGATGTATGCAGTAGACTTGTCTCAAGAACCCGTAGGATACTTGCAAAAGCCTTGTTCATCGTTTGGTAGTTGAGGGTTTGAGGGTGCCCAAGCAGACTGTACATGGGTACGGGGAAGAGCACTCCCCATCTCACAGCTGAATGTCATACTACAGGCGCCTCCACGGTGGGAAAACCGTGTCCTTGAAGGCATGTGGAATGCAACTCCGCCCAGGAAGCGAAGGCCCCGGCAACGAAGGATGCGGCCAGGCCGCCCCCAAGGCGCAGACAGGCAGAAAACGACAAATTTCCGTGCTGAGGGTTCGCACTCAAGCGCTTCACCAAGTTGAACGAAAGCTTCAACAGGGCTGCCCACGGAATGACAGAACAGACTGAAATCGATTGGTGGGGGATGGTCGCTTACATCAGTTACAATACGCCTCAATGCACGAGGTGTCACTGTGCAACACCAAGTTGCCAAAACTCCCTTGACCCACATGGCACATATTTCAAAATGGTCTCGACCGGGCCTTCCGGATACCCAGATATCCGAACATCGCCCTGCTTTTGATTTACCTGATTGACTTCGTTGCTCGGCCGCAAGTAGTTCGGGAGATTTGAGTTGCTGCAACTGGCAGCTTGCTGCAGTGTCTATCGAATTCTGGCGCGTCTCTCCAAGATGCCATTTATGCAGCTGAGCGCAGCCTATTCAGGGCATACCTTGAAAAGAGCATGCCATACCGGCGGTGCCAACCTGGGCCGTGGTTGCAACGCCAACTGATAATCTGAGAATGAATGTGCTAATGTGATTTCATGACAGGTCTCCAGCAGACCTGCCTTGCTCGCTGAACCATCAGAACTGCAAAACAGACACAACAACAGGCATGACAAATGAAGCGTTTACAAACAATCACGACTTTGCACCGGGTGATCGTAACAAGACCAAAGACGGCGGCGACGATGACAAACAACACAACAAAGAGAATTAGCATGCTCAGGCTGGTACGGATCGCGCTGACACTGCCGGTGATCTGCGTGGTTGCACCTTGGTGATAGAAGCCGTGTGGGATCCATCTACATAAGATACAGCGTCGCACTGCTTCACAGCCTCAAGGCAAAGGTGGCGAGGATGCGAAGGACCTGGCTGTGCTTGTGGCTATAGAACTTCACGTCGGACCCCAAACCAGTGCCTACCGGTATCCGCCATACTACTCAAACCTCCGGGGACCAGGCAAGCCTAAGCCCTCCGGTTAGTCTTGTTCGTAGCTAAAGCTCAAGTGTACAAAGCGGAAGAAGACAGAGGAAGCTGAAGGCTCAAGAGGCCTCTCGGCAGGCCAGCATGAGCAAACAGCAGCGTCTCGAAGCTCAGCAGAACGTCAATGAACACTTCCCAGACAATACATGTGTACATGTATCCTTACATTAAAGATGACATGGCTTGCAGGCATGCATCCAGAGGCACTTCAAACTAGTAGACCACATCTCGAAGTGTACCAAGCCCTACAAGGATCAGAGTGGAGAACATGTGAAAGGGATAGGGCTGTGATTCATAAGGAGGCTAGACTGTAGGCCCTTTATGCAAGTGATCTGTCCAGTTCAGCAGTTGAGGGACATGTATCTGTGGTTGGCTGTGCTGGTGGCCACAAGCATGCACTGGCTGAGACGTTTGCAAGAGGTTACACCAGCATGATGTCCATGGACAGTACAGTATGTGCCTTGTCATTGAATTCGAGAAAGAGGGATCTCCGGCATCTCGAAGAGGTGAGCGGCCGGCCTGTTGAAAGGGCTGCCGTTACAAAAAGCCCCGCAAGCAGCAAGCTATGCTTTAGCCGTATGGGCTTCCCTGTGTCTACCACCAGGACTTACAACTTTGGGCAACTGGCGCGTGTGAGGACCGCCCTGAAGACCATTCTGCCTTCTCGATGCTCAATCTCTCGGCGATATCACTGGCGATCTGTACTGCAGTCCTCCCCCGGCAGTCCAGAGGGACAAGCGATGGCGGGATCTTCATGCCGACTAGCGCCTGGCCACTTCCGTTTTGATCGTACGGATGCTCTTCACCCCATGGCGGCTCCGGAGGATATATGTCCTCCACCCGTAGCGGGAGAACTTCCAGACTGTTGTCCAGTGCGAAGCGGAGATGCCTGTAGGAGGAAAACTGTGATGCCGTCACCTCGGCATAGTCCTGCGTACACACGGCCAGGATGACGCCGCGTTCTCTTTTAATCCTGCCTAGGCAGGCCATCGTCTGCTGTCCGACATCGGCTCCCGCGCCCACGTGCACCATTAAGACCTCGTAGTTGTGCGAAATCAAGCATTCCTGCACGGCGCGCATGTGCGTGATCACGGGTCCACGGTCGGCGCTTGCAGAGACCATCGCCAGGCGAGAACCAAAGCCATCTGGGATGTCCACCTGGTGCCAACGACCGAACGCTTCACTGCACAGACATACCGCGGACTCCTCTACTAAAGCGTGGCTGGCAGGTCCTCTAAGCTCGTCTCTTCGCGTTCACTTTGAACCCAGGCGTCATCCTGAATCGAGCTGGGCATCGAGCTGACCCCTCTGGCGACGCCACCAAACCCCTGCTAAACCAAATTGAAAGTACAGTGGAACAGTATATAATTAGATGACAACAGCATGGACAATGAAAGTAGTAAAGTTGGATTTGGTACTAACTAGATTTGTGCACGTTATGCTTGGATTGAAGATCGAACCATTAGCTGCCCCGCCCTGCGTCACGCTGGACTTGGCATGTTTAGCGGCTCTCCATGCACTCCTAAACACTTGCGGCTGCGACGAACTATTGCATCTACAAGTGTGGCCGCGCACTGTTTGCAGTTCAGAAATCTAGCTTAATTTAGACGGGTCAGGGCATTAGCAAAACGCCACCCATGCTTGCTGGTGCCGCGCATGACACGATCCATGTCATTCTTTGGTTTGCAGATGCATCTTGCCAAGATCATCAGAACCATGCACCTGCACTAAGGCCCCTGGCAACTTCAAGAAGCAACATCGGCTTCACATCAGGCACTTTCTGCGCTCAACACTGCCGAAGCATGAAGGAAGGTTTCTAGGATGCCGCGTTGTAACCCCCAAAACTCCCAAACGAAACACATCACTGCGCGAAGCAATCGTCTCGGTAGAATCCAAGGGTCGAAGATCATCGTAGCGCCTGCGCCCTGACCAAAGCACACGTCACGGGGGATGCAACATATCCAACCAACATGCCAACCTAACCCGCCTAATATAAGGAACGCCATGTCGTGCCTGGTTTGGGATGGAAACTCGTGGCCATCTGACACTGTTACGAAACAAAGAAGGAACAAGAAAATTCATACATGATCGTCGTGGTGGCCATTGCCAACAACTTACCGTGGGGTTGACCGGAAGCATATGTGGGAGATATTGCAATTTGGGTTGGTATACGCAGGGATCCTGATTCCACACTTTTCTGGCGTGGCAATGTGACGCAGCGTAATACTTGCCAGAACACCTATTGGAAGCAGCTTTCTCCGGGCCAAATCTGGGGCTTGGGCTAAAACTCAGGCCAAATCTGGCAGCTGTACTCAGTGAACCCAGAAATGGTCCACATTGCATGAGAGTATGCCTGCTGCATAAAACCAGCAACAACGAAGGCCTTCAGGGTTTCACGGTTTAGGGGTCACTTTCTTTTCGAACAAGCTTGGTCTGGAGTCATGCTACGTTTCAGCGTGTCACCGAAACAAACGAGGATTCATTCTTCCAGCTGAAGCCTTGTGGACGAAAATGTCAATTTGTACAATACAAAGGGCTCACGCTCGGATCTAGTGATTTCCATGCACACTTTTCACTGCGGTCGCGGCTGCCACACAAAAAAATTCTCCGGCAGGGTGCAGGGGAGGTGGGCGGGAGGGCTGCACGGCACTATACCCATGCGCCTTTGCTGTTCCAAGGGCTCAGGCTCCTTGTGCTTTTTGGGCACAGCTTTTTCACACTGCGCACGTGGAGTTCACACGCATGCGGTCGCGGCTGCGCCGCACAAAAGCAAGACGTCTCCGGCTCACCCCAAATTCCCATAACTGCATCAATAGGCCCGCATCCTTATACAGGAGACGCATGTCTCCAAAAATGAAGCGGACGTGTGGAAGACCATAATATCGCAACGTTATGCTTTGCCTCCGCCCTTTCACTCGTACAACTTGAAATGAAGACAGCTTCTGACCAAAAAACGCGTAGTTCTGGGCGACGCTAAGGTCAAAGCTCTAAACGACCACTCGCCTTGCAGCTCCCCACAAAACAAAAACGAAAACAACTCTAGACGAGAGTACGGATTTCAGAGTTCTGGGCCCAAAACACACCAAAAACCTGACTCCATGACCCGTGCCTAACGCTTTCCAGTTGCACCGGCGCTGTTGGGTCGTGATTTTGGAGTTTTACCTGGCTTTGTCACGTCCGTGCCCTCGCCCAAACCATGACTCCGTTGCGTCCGTATCAGGATTTCGGAGTTTCGGCCGTGCCTCCCGGCCGGCCGCTCTGGCTGACGGTCGTTTTGGCTAGAATGCCCGAAGCTCTCCTGAAGGTGATAGGCACCACGCCACCAGGCGGCGGCATATGTTGGCTAGCGGCTAGGATCGAGAACATCGCATCCCAGCTGGCGAGTTTGGGTATGGGCCAAGCTGCTCCGAGTATGGGGGTGTTCCTCTTTAAGTGGCCCACCGCCGCCATGGTCCCCACAGACATCAACATGGCGAACGAGCCCGGTGGCTAGAAGATGGCTTCAACCTCCCAAGAGGCTTAACATAAGAAGCACTGCATGCCCCTGGGCGGTCTGGCCAATCGTGATTTCCGGCACACGAGTGGAGCACAATTCGCTCGGGCACCTGTGCCGAAGAGGCCGGAATACGCACGCTAGTTCACCCGCACCTCCAGACATCGCAAATACGACATGAACAAATCATCCCTGGACAGGCACGACGGGTGCAGATTCAAACCGAGAGGGAAGAGTGGAAGTTGCTAGCCGCTATCAACACCCACACAACTTTACTTGCAGGCCCGACACCCTTACGGAGAAGAGACAGGGCTTGCTCACTAAGCAGGCACATGCATTGCAGGAATGGCTGGGGAGTTTAAAACGGCGGTGCAACCACAACAAGCGCACGTTGGAACCACTTAACACTAGACCCAATGCGCTCGACCCTGGAGAACCTGTTCCTTGCGGTGCATAAGCACTGTAGCTAGAGTCCAGCTCCATTTTAATTTTCAAGTGCCCGCAGAATCAAGCAACATTTGCGCTGACACCATCGGCAGCATCCGCAGCATCGGCAAGTTCTCCTTGACCTTTGAGGACATGGCACGTCACGAGCGGTGCATCAAAAACCGAGGGACTGCAAATTCAGAATACTATAACTGAAAACGAATGAGCTTACAGGACCGGGCATGCCTAGCTGGTGCCGGGGCTGTGTTTGGACCAGCTACCGCAGACGAAACTTCGTTGCACATTGTCGCCGCTTATCCTCCAGACAAGACTGCTCGTCCTGATCTGATGCAGCGGGCTCGGTCCATCGACCTGATCTCGTGGGCGGCTTCCCTTCCGCTCCGGCAAGAATGCCAGGCGCAACTGCAGTTGCCTTCCATTCTTGCACCCGTCCTCCTAGCCTTTCAGATTACGTGTCACCGCGCCGTATAGCCGACTCCACAAAAGTGCATGGCGGCTCTGACGCAAGTGAAGCATTCGTGTGTCATAACTCCTTGCACAGATATGTGTTCGGTCACTCCATAAGAACACTTTGCTTGTACACTCTGCGGGGTTTCCAAGATTTGCTATCCACACCGGGGATGCTGAGGTTCGATGTCCCTGTCGGAGCCCGAGGACCCAGGAGCAACGCACCTCTGCGTTGACTGCTGAACCCGATGTCATCTCACCACTAACCTTCACCGCTCCCTCGGAACGATTGCCCACCCTCACTGTCGGAAGTTTCCTGACTAGACACGGGATTTCTCCGAGGCGATGCATGCGACCTGCTTGTGGAAGTGGTCAAGCACGTGCAGAGTCGCTACCGACCAAGAGGGACAGTCCACGACCGTGCTATTTCGCCAGGAACCTTGTCTCTAGCTTTTCTGCAGAGTAACCTTTTGGAATTTGAAATTTGCAGGTGTGCTGTGCCCATTTTCTTTGGTCACCTGCAGACCATGGCATGACTCCACCCGGCCGCACGCTGCTTGCACATCCTGCACGGGGAACTCTGGAGAAACCTACGCCAGGCACCCCAAGTCCCGGGCCCTAACTGTAGGACTTCCAGTCTCCCAAGTGAGCAAGAACAACACCACGGATCTACCTACTGTGTAGAGGATGATCGCGCAGAAGCTCGGAACTCAAGGGATGCCGGCCGATCTGTCGACTGGTCCCGGAGTCCCGGAGGCGCCGTGCTAGCCGGCTACTTGGCGGGCACGACTCAGCTAAATAGATAAGCCGTTTGAGCCAACAGGTGTGGCCTACGCGGCCGAGGACGCACTCCCAAATAGGCCAGTAAAGGGACGTCAAGTCGTGGGTGCAGCGGTCCCCACGTCAGCGTAGGTCTTCTATTGCAAGTGAATTCGAACTGATCCGGTATTCCATTGTCAGGGCTCATCAGGGCCGTCACAACAATGAGCGTTGCCCTTCTTCTGCTGATGTTTCCTCGCTACCACTATCGGCTCCGTGCTGCTGGGGGCTGGCCCCCACAGCTTCGAAAAGGCAGAGAGTGCTAGCAAGATCTAGCAAGCTATAGTTTCAGCTGCTGCTGCTTGAGCCCCGGAGTTATGGAAACGTGTGCTCGCTCAGGGGACGTTACACCGATGTCATGTGGCTACTGCAGATGCATTATGCATTCCGTCTGTGTTGCCACTGTCAGCCAGGCAAGCTGCAGGCCGACTGCGACGTTTGCAGTCCATGCAGGCCTTTGTTCCAAGAGGCACGCCAGGCGGTCTTGGAAAGTACTCACACCACTCGCTGCAATGGCTGGACAGACAGGTGGACCGCAGCTTCGCGACTCTGTCTCGGACGTGTTGGCTGGCCACACACTCTGCAGAAGAAATGGCCCATGCTACGACATAGACTGGGTGTTCTCGCTCGGTGAGTGGATAGAATGGACCAAGCCAAAGCCAAGGTGCTACTCCACACACACTCATTCGACAAACCTATATGCCCTGCGCTGCATTCCCAGAACATATGGGCTCGCAACGCTCCATCTTGCTGGCACGGATGCTGATGTCAAAAAAGACAGCAGCAGCAGCAATGTGCAACACATGGACCCCATCATTGAAATCTGTTTTGTGTAGTAGTGTAGTACAGAGCACTGCCTCAGGCATCTGTTGTCATTCAAGATAACACATCCCGCGAGTAATATCAGCTTCATTTTATCATGAGCAACAAAGTTTGTGGCCACTCAGGCGTTTCAGCCCGCTCTTCTTTGCTATGCAGACACAGGCCACTCACATGGTCCGTTGGATGCTGTGGTGAAGCTGGGCAACTCGGAGCTGCAAGGCTTCCTGGATACGGCCACTTGGGAGCTGAGGCAGATGCCCGAACACACAAGCTGAACAAAGCTCCTGGAATACTTGGAAAAGTGGAAGTGCATCTCAAATCCGTTCATGTCACACGACGAGAGCACCTGCGTTTGAAGGCCGGGCCCCAAGACACATCCTCGGCGACAGGAATTCAGGAACGCATCAAGACCCTCACCAAGTTGCGTGGTTCCGCCGGGCAGTGAACTCCCTTGATCTCCCTTGCTGGCACGCGCACGCAGATGTGCAGCCACCTCAACTACGACGATCGCAAGGTAGTGCAGCAGCATGCACAGCGGGCCGTGCGGGATCAGGTCATCAGGTCACCAGTGAACGCACGAAGCATAATTTACGTCTGATTGCGCGTAGCTGCTAGTACGCCTAAAGTGCGCAACTATTGGTCTCGCTATCCTTGCTTCGGCGTATGCTATCTCTTGAAATCGCCATAGCACTGTGCAGCCGTCAACACGACGGCAAGATCAAAAGCTCAAGCCGCCTCCGCCTCCATACACGTGATGCGGGCTTGGTCACGCGAACAGAGCTGTTGAAGACCAAGCAAATTCCACAGCAGGCCAGCCAAAGCTAGCCATGGCACCGCGAGCAGAGCGCGCAGCTCAAGATCACTCAATGTTCTTGTTTTCTGCTGAAACGGCATGCGTTATGCACCTGCACACAGTGTTATCCAAGCATTAGTGACATAGATTGCGGGATGTCGTCGCAGTCAAAGATGTTGAGTTGAGCACCTGTGTGCTGGCCAAGCTCAAGGCTTTGCTGCAATCGGTTGCGGCCATGCGCAAAAGAAGAGAACGACGGGACGGTCCAGCCTGCACTTGAAGTCCATACGAGAATGTCACCAATGCAACACGTGGCCCAGGCAAGCTCACCGGACCATCCCACGTTTTTGCTTTGATTGGCTTTTTGCAGAAAGATTCAAAAAATGACGAGTGACTGGCCTCCTCACCCCCAAACCTGAAACCTATGTGTCCTCTGAGCCTTCAAGAGAACAATACAATTTTCGACAATCAATGAAGCACATCGCAGTGATGCTCCGGTGCACGCAAAAAGCGGCTGCGATTGCGAGCGGGTGAAAGCTTCTGGCTGAAGGCTTTAAAGCTCCGGCCTGTGGTGATCGGAGCTGGTTCGATGCCAACGATCGCGAGGACGGCATCTTGGCCAGGGCCTGTGACACAGAGCTTACTTAGCAACAGGCAACCACACCATGAGCCCCTCTGGCACGAACTCCTGGAGCGAACATGTGAAGGGCTTCGCATGTGCCTCGCCCTGAGCCCCGCCTTCTCGCTGCTCAATCTCCCAGCGATATCACTGGCGATCTGTAGCGCAGTCCGCCCTCTGCATTCTAAAAAGACAAGCGTAGGAGGGATTTTCATCTGAACTAGGGCCTGGCCCAATCCATGTTGATCGTGAGGATGATGGTCACCAAAGGGTGGCTTTGGAGGGTAGGTGTCTTCCACCCTCAATGGGATGACTTCAATGCTGTTCTCCAGTGCGAACTGCAGCTCCTTGTGTGACGAGTACTGTGATGCCGTCATTTCGGCATAGTTCCATGTACACACGGCCAGGATGACGCCGTTCTCCCGTTTTATCTGATACAAATACTCCAAAGTGGCATCACCAAAATCATCACCAGCTCCAGCCTCAACGATAAGCACATGGTAGTTGCGGGCATCCAGAATCCTCTGCATTCTTCGCATCAGCTTCTCCACCGGCCCGCCATCGAATCTAGCGGAAATCATAGCCAGCCGAGAGCTGGAGCCGTCTGGAATGTTGCTCGCCTGGCACGAGTCCGCTCTTGTTGGGCTGGCCTGCGGTTCGTTGAGCGGGTTTGCTAGATCGGGGTAGCGAAACGGAAAACCGCAGCTCATGCATGCAGAAAGACACCAGGCCGATCGAACGCTTTACTGCACAAACATAATCCAGATTCCTGGACCCAAACGTGGCTGGCAGTTCCTGGGCGTTTGCGTCCTCGAATTCAGGTACCTGAAGAAACGAACTCTGAGACCTCAATGAAGATGATACCGTGGAGATCAAGCTGAGAGCAGCACGATGCGCTGCTTGCGCCGCTTGTGCAAGCGCCAAACCGAGAAGCAACAGAAAGCCAGGATGCAAGTGGACCTGGAGTTTGCTGGAACATGAAGCGCATGCCTTGACAACCATTTGCAACCATTCGCGATGATTCCCAGCACCTTTGGAATAGCCCGGCCAATGCCTTCCTGCCCTGCAGCTGAGTGGCAGCGAGGTTATGACCACAACGACAACGACATCTGCCTCGCAGCGGACTTGCACAGTTTACGAAGTCGTGAAACGAAAGTCGCCCAGCTCAAGACATCAGGCGAGACATAAGGCTATTCTCGCTACCCTTGCTTTCGCTGGCAGACTGGAAGGCCGAAATGTCTGCATGCGTTTTTGCAGTGCATCTCGCGCTGACAGACTCAACGACACTTCGCCCCAACCATCTATTACTATGCCAAACAAACACCTTGAAAAGAAATCAGAATCCTCGGTGCAAGGACCGCAGAAAGGCAACAGATTGGCAGATTGGCCTCCTCGTCGTCCACTTCCTGCCAGGAAACAGGGCGCATTATGCTGATTCTTGGCTTCTGCTGGACGTCCCAAACTCCGTCAGCTTCCTGGCAACTTTTGGAGCTTTTGTAACCCGTAGTAAGAGCCATCGTCATGAGTGCGCCACCCTGGGCCCCGTCACCTTCTCAATGATGACAATCAGCGTGATGTGTTGGGTGTCAATGCTAATGCTGGCAACGGCCTCAAGAGATGCAAGCTGCAGCTTACAGCTCTCTGCTCAGAGACTGGGGATTTCCTGAGGAGCATGCGTGAGGTTCACCGACGGGGTCCAGGACTCGCCGCAACGACGGGCTTCTTCGATATGCCTGTCACACCAGGTCGGCTTGTCCGGAGAATGACTCGCAGACAGCCGTCCACTTCCCTGGACCTTGTCCCTCAAGCGCAAGATAAGGTCACTGGGATCCTCCCAACTGCCTAGACGGGCGCATGGCAGAGTGTGCTGCGACATCCATGCGAAACACAAGTGCCATGTCATCGAGCGGAGAAGAGCAGATTCTGCTGCAAGCAGGCTGCCCGCATTGCCCAGTAAACGCCTCTCAGCGCTGCCGAGCGGTCCTGGCCATGCTCGGGCAGAAGCAGAAGCTGTGAGCCCTCTCTGCTTGGCCCCGCCAGTCCTGACCGAGCCGGGCCTGTGACTGCAAACCTTAGTACTTAGGCGGACTGCGAACGCGAACGCTGCGAGATTCATCACACGGCCAGGTAGCGAAAGGATCTTGCGTGACAGTGACAAACTGATGTCCGTTGTCATCCTCAGACGGGAACACCCTCCCCCTTTCAAAGGCCAGATAACCTGCAGACCCATAACCAGCAGGATTTGGATGAAGCTTGTGCGCACATCCCACATCCTAGTATGACCCACGTCTGGCCATGGGCTGTGGTCTCATGCATTCTAGAACAACATTCAGGGAGTGAACAAGACCAAAGAGCACACCGCAAGATTTTGTGATCTAAACGCCGCCGAAGGCGCTCTTGTGGGATTTCCAGGAGGAATCGGAGTTCAAGTCCCACCGCGGCTAAAGACTCCATCGCGCCCGGCTGCAACCTCAGCCCCACTCCACTGCCTCGTAGAATCGTAGAACAGATACTTGCTCACACACTACACACTAAGGGCCTGGCCGGTCCATCGGTATGATCCTGAGTTGCTGTCATGGCCCGAGCTTCTTCCCTCCCACTCCCCAGCCAATTTCACGAAGAAGTCTCCCCTGCCCTTCCTGCGTGGCAAGGCTCGCCGTTGCAACCTCCAGCACCTGAATGCTGGTGTTGCCTCTGGAGGCACGGCCCAGCTCACAGGGCTGCCAGACAGGTATAGCGGCACCAGAGGGACCTGCAAAGGAAGGATACTGTAACTGTAGTCTGATTCCTGGCAGCTTCATGTGCGCAATGCACCAGGCCCCTGGCAGCTCTTTATGCCAAAGCCGGCGTAGCAACGGCCGAACGGCACGCAACCTGACCAGCTTTGAAAGCACCGGAGTCTCAGATCCAGGAGTGTGGCGGACGTGGCGCTCAGCAGAAGCCTTCAAGAAATGGGCACTGGAATTGAATGCTTGATCCATCACTATCGCATGCGAAGCAATGTTTAAAGCGCCAAGTCAGTCAAATATTTTCAGACGAGGTGCTCGTTCTTTGGATTTGCAGCGTCTCAGAGGGGAGGTCAATCCTCAGCACACATAGCGACTCAGAAGAGCTGAACAGAAGCCTTAATCCAAAAACTAGAGATCGTCTCGGACCGGATATTCTGTTCTGGGGGAATCAGCCTGTTTGAAGCGCATCTGATGTTGCTGCAGCCAGGAAGCTGCACGCAGGTCTGGCTGCCTCGAGCCAACTCTTCTTGGGAGCATGGCGCAGGACATGAGTTTGCAACGCCACCTGAGCGCTTCCGAACGACTCGTAGGTGAACGAGTTCGAGGCAGGTCGGAGCTTGTGCATTTCACTGGTGCTATAAGTTCAGTGTTCATGTTTACACAACACTTCAGTAATGTCGTTGCCTAGTCGAGTCACAGCTGCAACGCGATTCTGTTCAAGCGGCTCGGCTCAGATTCAAGCTGCATGGATTCTTGGAATGGGCTGGGTGTGTTGATGGAGCCCAGCGAGTTCAACGACAGCACCAGCAAGTCAGCCAAGCGACTGATGACCTTTGCCACGCACAGAGTGCCATTCGCATCCTTGGAAACAGTGACCACAAGACAGCTGCTGAAAGAGTGTCAAATGCAAGCTGAAAACCTTCAAGCCAGCACTAAGCCCAGGTCCAGTGGGTCTGGGCAGCGCAGCCTAAGTTGCTATTGTGGGGACAAGAAGGCATTCCGAAAGCGGGTCGTCTGGGCCGTCGGCGAATTCTGGCCGCACGGGCAAGGCGCTTCCCTGTCCACGCAAAGCTTCCAAGTCATCTCTGGCACGCCTGCGTGGAAGCACGGAAGGAGTGTCAGGCTGACGCCCGGAAGATGCAAATGAGGAGACCTTACCTGGCCTGCCGTGCTGTACTCCGTGATCTCGCAGGCTTTCTGCCTAAGAGAAAGCTGGAGGAAACAATGCATCACTGCGGCATGCGGCACGTCTTGCCATGGAGCTGCCAATGCTCGCAGGGGCACACGTCAGCCTTCTGCAACCTGACGGACACTGTCACAACATGTCGCCACCGAAACTGGAGTGGCTCTGGATGGAGCGCATGCATCACATGTACACCGCCTGAACACCTCATCCTACAGCCTTCCGTGCCACTTTGGTGCCAAATCAGGAAGTTAGAGGCGGATGAACATGACCGCACCCGCAAAAGGAATCAATCAAGACGCAGCTAAGCCCTGTTTGATCCGTAGCTTTTCAGGCAGCTTCGTGACGCAGGGAGGCAAAGGTCTGCTCCGGGGCAGCGCTGTGTGTTTGCGCCACAGGGACACGGTGCGGTCGATGCCCAGCAGATCTCTCGAGAGCCTGCCAAGGGTCTCGCCACACATTGCCGGCCACTTGCGCTCGTCTTCGGGCACCTGCCTGTGATGTTCCCATCAGGAGTGTAGTCCACGACGACACACGTCTTCTCATCAATTGCGCAGCAGGCCGCGCCCTGTGATATCTTGGCACATTGTAATAATGCTTCAAGTGAGAGAACCGTCGTTTTATGATATCGATCGCGGCAAGAGCGCTGCAAGACCCATAAAAGAGCAATTCCTCCAGCTGGTGGGGGCTTTGAATGTGGGAAAGCTAGAACTAAGTTAGAACAGTTACCCCAGCCCACTTCCCCGCCCTCCCTATGCCTTGAAGATGCAGCGATTGAGGGCTGCACACGTTTTTGCGCCGCGCCCACACGGGCAGTCGACCAGGCTTCTGGCACACTGCCTGCTGGGAGGCACCATGCCTGAGATCTCCAAACGTAGTTCGCAGTAGGATGACATGCTGTCGGCAAGCTCCTGCCAAGTGCCTCCACGCAGAAAGCACAAAGATCCCAGGGCCCCTCTGAGTTCGTGCCAAGGAGCTGTCTTCCATGCCATCCGGGAAGAAGTTTTGCACTAGCGGGCACTCGATTTCGCCAGGTGCGCAGAGGGGACAGTATCCTGCGCACACCAGCAGCACAAGCATTTCTTACGCGAACTGATACAAGGATGTACCACGTGGCATCACGTGGCATGTGGCGGCCGCCGACCTCCCACTGGTAGACATTCTGGTTCGCCCCGGCCCTGACACGAAAGTCGGAGCTCATTTGAGGATGCGGCACGTAGAAGCTCATGGTGCAGTCGGGGCACAGTGCTGCACAGGAAGGAGCCGTGTCCGCAGCCGCACCCGGTCCCGATTGGCACCTGACGACTCAGCAGCCCCGATGTTGCAGGGTTGCGGTTGGCGAGGTGGGCGGCAGAGAGGTTCCAAGCTTCGCAAGCAAGCATTAATCTGCAAGGACTCCTTCTGCCAGGGCTCACAAGTCTCGTCTGTGGGCAGACGATTGCCCTGAGCATCAAAACCTCGGTGCTGTCAGGCCGGACGGGTAAAAGCCAACTCTTGGGACTTGTACTCGCCCCTATACTGGTTAACTTCCTCAGTCAGCCGACCCGTACAGGACCTTGACGCACGGTGCAAGAACAGGGCATCCTAGAAGCAAGGAGAGTGCCGTAGAATTGTAGGAATCTCCTCCCCGACACTTCTTCGATCCCACGGCACACTGAAATCAAGTCTCCCCCTTCGTCCCAGTTGCTCGGTCGGTAGCAGGGCTCTTCGCCGTCCGGACAGAGCAGGGGACAACGGCTGAGCCCGAGACCTCATTGTGTCGCAGATAGAAACCCCGCAACAAATCGCCGTGTGCAAG